ACTCTTTCCTGCTTATGCAGGGGGTCGGACTCGATGATCTATTGAGGTCCCTTCCGACCCTAACGTCTATGAATCTATGGCAGTAGCTCTCAACTATTTTGGACATGTGACACTTCTCACTGAACTCGCAGCACCCCTCCATAACTTTGTGGATAAACTAGCACCCAATTTCAAACACTAATTTATATATTGCAGCGCCTACCCTCTTTGCAGAGGGGTTGGGCAATGGGGGTGGGGGACTGTCCAGACAGGGACAAGCCTGAGCCTGAGTTTATTTACTTACCTTATCTGCTTATCACCTCATACCTTGCAGCACCCTTCAAAGGATCTGACAGGACTCCAGGGTGCCCTGACACCCTGGTTGAGAATCACTGATTTATGAAAAGTACAAGAGACTATGTGGTGAACATATATGCCTCTAGGGTAGGCAACGGCATTAACAAACAAAAGGTGTTTCCTTCAATACAAAGGCTGGAATTGATGAATGAAGGTAGTGTTCTGCATTGTTAAAATTAGTTCAATGCACATACTAATTAGGAAAGCAGATAAGAAAAATCCTTTATGATAAATGGTGGTTGCTCAAGCACAAATACATTCACAAGTGCTGTTAATGTAGTTCCCAATATAGGTATGTGAACAAAGAATAAAACATCAGATTTACTTTTGCTATTTACTCATATATTGTTATGTATGGCATTTATAATTTAGAAGGTACAAATGACAAATTATACTTTACTTTCATCATTGCCTAACATACAACGAACATCACAGAACAACATAAGCAAAGGAAAATGCTTGACCTCATTGCATAAAAGCAAGAAAGCCTAACTAGAGTTGATCCTTAGGGATTTTCACTTTTAAGAAACCCAAAGAGTGAAAAAGAACCTCCCAACAAAACCAATGACTCTTGTTCACACTTCATTCACTCAGCTCATTGCTCTGGGGTTTGTGAGGTTTTATAGAAGTTAGGGTTCATTTAACCTTCATTAGCAAATAAAAATTAAACTGTAGTAATCAAAAGGGGAAGCAAAAAGTTTTCCTGTAAAGTTTAGGGACTCAAAACTGGTTCAAGTAAAGCAGTGTTGTGTGTAATGATAATATCTGGGTAGAGTGTAATGGATTCACATTAAAACATGGATTTGGGTTTTAGAAACCAAGTATATAAAAAGTTTATAAAACATTAGTGCACAATTATCTGCATCCTCCAACCTTAGATCCAAGTAAAAGGGCACGTAGCTTGTCTTGGTAGGATGTATAGTGTCTTTGAGGAAGTGTTCAACCAACTTTTGAGACTCTGGAAACAAAAAACATATCTAGTTTTTGTTTTCTATAGCACACATCATCCCAGTATTCACCTAACATTTGGAAGGACAGTTTTTCGTAAATAAATTGTATGCTGTAATAGTCTGTTCATAGCCAGAAGAAGAGATAAGAAGATTAAGAACCAAATTAATCCTAATGTTTAACTGATACCAATGGCATCGTGCAGAAACTTTCAAATACTGTTTAATTAGAAAGCAGATTTTAAGTAATGATGACAGAGCTTGCAAATGAATATACAGTTACTGTAGCTATGTTACTTCCCTCGAGAGCTGAATTAAGTTTTTAAAAGGCCACTGTGGACTGCTTAAAAGAAAAGGCCAATGTAACTGCCTGTGTGAACAACACTTTCAATTTTGGTGTTATTTAGGGGTTGTATTAAAAAAATTATTAGTGATGGCAAGTAAAAAATAGCTGAAAAGAATTAATCACAGAGCCAGATCCTTCAGGCTCTCAGGCAGCAGTCTCCCCAGCTCTGAGTGGCTCTCTCTGCTGGGTATACTTATAGGTTGGATTCACAGTAGATTTTTATTCCCTGTCAGTGATTCTGTTTCTTATATGAAAATGTATGGCAAGTAACTGCTGCTGCTTTCATTTTCATCTGAATTTGAAATATAAAATACACCTTGCCTTAAAAATGACCTATAAACTTCAAACATTACTTTTTAATGAACTTGCTGCCAAACCGTGCCACTGATGATTGACTAGATCCAGAGGCACTGGATTACCAGGCAGCAGCAATGGCAGGGGCCAGGCTGGTGGTGGTGGTGGTGGCAGCTGCCATTCTTGCACCCTTTGTAAAGTGGGCACCTGGACCAGGTGCCCCGGTTATGCACCCCTCATTACACTACTGACCAGATCCAGGAATAAATGGTCAAGGAGGCGTTAGTTACACTGGTAGAGTTGGACCAATTTATTTTTCAAAAAGTATTGATATGACAAACAACAAATGATTAGAAAACAACCCACGCAAGCAAAAGTGTAAAATAGACTACTGAGAAAACTCTGAACAAGTCAGAATTCAAAATGAAAATAAACTCCACCCCCAAACAACAATTCTTTTTTCTAAGATATAAATAATAAAGCAAATCTCAAAGGCATTGTCCATTAAATCCAGAATTTGAACAAAAGGCATCTGAAGGAATGCAATTCTCCTTTGTCCTAAAGAAGTAAGTGTCTTGGAGGGGAAGATACAGATAATTTTTTTTTTGGCCCTGTAGGGTCCTAAAACAATAACTGTAGGACCTTGATGGGCTGGGACATGATAGTTGGAGGGAGACATCTTAGTGTAGTGGAAACCATTTAAAAGCTAGCTTTCTTGGTTTTTGCAGCTGCCAAAAGCACCCTAAAGCACTTTGTCTTCCTGTAGAGTCATCTCCCTAGTACTTGTTTCCCCCATTAGCACAGTGTCTGAGCACTTACAAAATATTTAATCATGGAATTCAATTTTTTTTTGTTCCCTATAAGAACCCTCTAGGTTCAGGTTCAGAGAAAGGAATGAAGGCAGTTCAAAGTGTTTATTTCATCCCTGTAGCTTTGTGGAGGTGGCAAAGGAGTATTTGGGGCTCACTGGAATAAGATGTTCCACATGATGGGTATCCAGAGACAGTGTTACCTCTTTGAATTAGTCTGAAGTAGGACTGAGGGGGTGCAAGATACTGGTAGCTGACAGATGACATCACGGTTTAGCTTATTTCTTGACTAACATGCTTAGAAGAGAACAATCTATGTTTGTTTTTGAGGTCTCCAACATTGAGCAATAATTTGTTCAAGTACTGACTGGACTTTATGTTTTAAAACTGAGTAGTGGAAGATACCCCTCACATGATGATGATGATTTTTTTATCGCAGGTTCCTCACATTCTTCATCTTTGGGAAGGATTAGTACATAATTCTTCTGGAAAAACTGAAAAAAAAGATTCTTCTAATGATCTCAAATGTATTCTGGAGAAGAGTAGCTGGTGACTAGTAACAATCACTTTTAAAAGAAGGGATGAGTATTTGTTCAGTCTGATGGGTTTTTTTTAGATGGTTTCACAAGGAAGGCTAGATTGGCATTCTGAAAGGCTAAACTTTCTACACTGGCCTGAGCAAACTAGAAAATGGGACAAGCAGCCCAGGGACCTTTACAAACAGGGCTATTTTCCTGCTTTCCTTCCTGGCTGACCCTGCCTCAGAGCTCCAGGAGCCCACTGTTACCCAAAGGAAATTTTACACAGTTTTGCATTTGTACACATACATGTATGCTTGATACACAGCAACTACAGCAAATACACAGCAACAATATAAATGTATGTTCTGTATTCAAGACTTACATTTTAATTTTATCTCCCTCTGGACTTATTTTGCTCTGGTACTTTGGGATCCTGAGATATTGTAGGCCTCCTATCACACCTTTGTTAAGAAACTGTTTAAATAACTATAGGAAGCAGACAGAACAAAGGTAACACTCTCCTAGTTAAACATTTACCCTTTGAGTTTTGATTCAAGCCAAATGATTAATGACTATCATAAGCAATTTGGGATACAATGTTCAACTGAGGGTCTTTGCTCCTAATTTTCTAATTTATTCTATTTGATGAGGAAACCATAAAGAGTCTAAAGCACTTTCACAAACCAGCTTACAGATTTCAAGGTCTGTACAAACAGTCTAATATTTCCAGTTTGGATTAAGATCTCTACATTCTATTACCATGACAGCATACAAAGTACATTTATTCATTACCAGCACCAAACATACAAGCAATTGTGACAACACACTAAACAATATGGCTGAGCTTTCTTTGCAGTACCAACACTGTGGTCTCAGAGAGACTGCATGGATAAGATTGAGCTGTTGTTACTCTAATCCTTGTAAGGGGAAAGGGCTGCCTACATTCTGATTGGCCAACATTGCCATAGTTTGGCTGAGTGAGAAGACCTTCCTACCTCTGACTAAGACATTATGTGTTCAGCCCAATCATCAAGTGACCAGTACTAACTCAGATGCCCCTAAGCTAGAATACGGAGTCAGGTTCCACACAGGAATTTTGACGATGCCCATTTTTGTAAACTTCAGCTTTTCCTGGAATTACCATCTTTTTGTATGGAAGTCAGAAGTGCTAACAGAATCAAATCTGATTATTCAAAAAAATACTGTAAGATTACCGCATCAAATATTGGACTGCTTAAATATTTAAATTGCATAAAAATTATGATTTAGCCAGTATGTAAACAATGTATGCAAAAACCCCAAAATTTATAGCAATAGAACAAAGATCTCTCTTTAAAAAGGACTTCTCCCAGTTTGTTTCCAGACTTCTTTTGCTCCTTTAATGCTTTCTCTTTTCACACATTTCCAGTATCCTTGCACACCTTGCTGTTGTGGTACCTGTTAACAACATATGAAGTTACACTGTGTTCTTCCACATTTACAAAGAACATACCTTTCCTTTGTTATGTTGTTCAACACAAAAACATCTGACTAAGATGCTGCTACATCCACAATTCACATGGATATCCCAAGTATTGCAATAAGCACATCACTACATCTACAACAATCAGCTAGCCCTCAGGACTCCTCGGTGTGTTGTAAATTTGATTTTATTCATCCTCTTGCTTTCTTGGTGAAGGTTTGAGTGGTGACGGTTATTTTGTTCATAGACTATTTCTATTATAATTAGACCTAAGCCTGAACTTCCATTTGAATCTGGATCCAAAACTTTTCCATTAATCAGGGAGTTCAGGCTGAAGGGAAGATGGAAGGGTAGTGGGGAAGTTGGTTCATGTTAACCAAAACAGTGCCATAAAAGAATTAAAAAAAAAAGATCATCAAGATTACATTCTTCCCTCTACCCCCTGCAAAAAAAAAAAAAAAGTAAAAAAAAAGTAAAAAAAAGTGAATGCCATTAAGAAAGTGGTTCCTTTGTATTTCCAGTATGGATACTAGAAATCCTCAGTTTCTCCTACATTCTTTTACATCCTCATGAGTATTCATGGATAACACTTCAAACAAAATTATACATTTGCTGTGTAAGGTGTGCCATGATCTCAGCCAGGAGTAGAATGCTAATGAAGGGGAAGCATACTCAGTGCAGGCATGTACACACATTGCAGCCCTCAACAAAAAGTCATTAATAGTGTGTTCTCTTAGGTGACTTTTTCAGTGTTCTTTATTTCACATCAGATGGACACACATCATACTGTATATTGCAGACCTGTAAGCAGCATCTGAATTTTTAGGAGCAGTATGAAATCTAAAAAATGGGGCAGTTTTTGTCTAGGACTCCTGTATAGTAGGATTCATCTACATCTTTCTGCTATTTGTGCTTGCACTTCTACAGGCATTTATAAGAAAAGTTCTATAACGTCCCAATAGTAATTTATTTTAGATAATGTGAATGTTTGTTACCCTTAAGCCTCGATGCATCCTGTTCTTCAGAACTCCCAGAAACTCGCCATGGCTAAGGCAATCATCTCCATCCAAATCAAATATCTTGAAAACAGTGTCCAAAACATTATCAGAGAGCTCCTGTCCTGTTGCCACTTTCACAGCTCTCTTAAACTCAGCTAATAAAAAAAACAACATTATATTGCATACGTCACCGTGAAATGAAGAAATACTAAAATACATCAAATACTAGGATTAAATACCAATATATATCAAGTCTCCTGGGTATCCTACCCTATAATATTTGGGATGTATGAACTAGTAAACTATATTAGAAGATCTCAATCCATGTGCCCTTGAGCTTGCTTTATATTTCAAGGCAATCTTTACTGCTTATATTATGGGCTTTTAAAATATGTTATTTCTTCTGAAGCAACAATAAAAATGGTAATCATTAATTTTGGCTGAAAATAGCTGCATATTTAAGAATTAACTACTTTTGGCTGACACGTGCATGTGGGTTACAAGCACTTGCCCGACAAAAGGCTTATAAAAGCCTAACATTTTATTTGGAACCAGTCTCAAGCTGTCTAGAAGATGTTTTTCCAAGGACTTGGTTCACCTCACCCAACAATCCTCTAACCTGCAGCCACCAAAGGCAGCGTTTATAACATAGTTTTGTGTGCTTTTGGTGCTGCGTTTTGTAACAGGCCTTAGGAATTGCACTGCCCATACCTGAATGTGTAGAAGAGAAGAATGGTTTAATAGAACTCATGGAGAAAAAATTTATCAATGCAACTCTAGCCTCCACTTCTCTTCCTAGTATTGCATACTCCTCTTTTCACATGGTTTTAATCTATCTGTGTTGCCCAGAGGCAACAGGCTGGGACAAGTACTTGCGGGATGAAGGATTTACTTTCTTTTTAATCATGCACAAAGGGCTCACAGTCTTGGCTCATCAGAAATGTGCACAGGTAAGGGTATGAGTGTGGAGAACAAGGCAACAGTGAAATGAAAACGGTGACCATAAAAGCAGCAAATCATAGCACCTACAGCCTAGCCTGCAACAAGCATTTGTAGACATCAGCTAGGGACAGACATTCAAAGGAGCTTGAACTGATTCAACCTTTGCAGGTTAGTCTAATCTGCGTAGGCTGAACTGACTTGTAACTGGACAAACATCTGCTCTGGACTGAGAAAATGTCAGCATATGCCTGCAGTTGCTCAGGCCAGGCACCGGGGGAGTGCTAGAACATACCCTCAGCTGCTGGGAAGCTGTGCTGGGGGGGTGTGGCCAACCCGGGCTGAACTGGCCAGAGAGGGGTTTAATTCCCCCCTGCTGGTGGCACAGGGAGCAGGGAATTAAACCCCACCTCTGGCCAGACCCCCACCCCTACCTGTCCCTGCTTGGGTTGGGCAGCACAGGTGCAGGGCCAGCCTGGCTGGGCTGGAGCAGATAGCCCCTCCCAGCCCAGAGAGCATGGCGGGATGCTGGGGGGTCTCATGTTTTATATTAAACCAGCAAGGGGCCTGGGACAGACATTGCATAAACTGGTTTGAGCCAAATCAGTTAAGTCTGATACTACACTCAACCAGGTTTATCTCAAAATCATTTCAGCCATTTTGCAGCTGGTTTATGTGCACTGAATGTCTGTTCTGTTACAGGTTTAAACCAGTTTCTGATCACTTAAACTGGTTTGTGTGTAATGTCTGTCCCTAGCCATAATGGAAGAGGAATCTGGAAGAGAATAATGCAGAATTGAGTGACCTAAACTACCCTGACACCTGCTGGGAGAAGCAGTCAGCCAAATCTAACCGCTCACATTGGTTCTTAAACTGCACACAGGACCTCCACCTAATGCAGGAGGTATACAACCCCACTAGGGAAAACGCCTTGCTGGACTTGGTGTTAGCTACAGGGGATGACTTGGTGGGGAATCTGCAGGTACAAGTTAACCTAGGGGATAGTGACCACTGATTGATTGAATTCACTATCTGGTGAAGGGTGGGTAAATTACCACCAGGACTGAAGTGCCAGACTGGGGAGGAAGAACAAGCAGCAGACCTATAGGCTGGGGAACTCCCTTCTTGTCAGTGCAGAGGCAGAAAAGGATCTTGGAGTCATTATTGATGCCAAAATGAACATGGGCTGACAGTGTGGGGACGCGGTCAGGAAGGCCAACCACACTTGGTCATGCATCCACTGATGCATCTCAAGCAGGTTCAAGGAGGTGATCCTCCCCCTCTATGCGGCGCTGGTCAGGCCACAGTTGGAGTAGTGCGTCCAGTTCTGGGTGCTGCACTTCAGGAGGGATGTGGACAGCATTAAGAGGGTCCAGAGTAGGGTCACTTGCATGATCAGGGGGCAGTAGGGCAGGCCCTACGAGGAGAGCCTAAGGGACCTGAACCTGTTCAGCCTCCACAAGAGAAGGCTGAGGTGGGGATCTAGTGGCCTGTTACAAACTAGTCAGAGGGGACCAGCAGGCATTGGGGGAGTCCCTGTTCCCCCGAGCACTACCAGGAGTGACTAGAAATAACGGTCACAAGCTGGCAGAGGGTAGATTCAGACTAGACATCAGGAGGTGCTACTTCACAGTCAGGGCAGCTGGGATCTGGAACCAACTTCCAAGCGAAGTGGTGCTGGCTCCTACCCTGGGGGTCTTTAAGAGGAGGTTAGACGAACACCTTGCTGGGGTTGTTTGACCCCAGTACTCTTTCCTGCCATGGCAGGGGGTCGGACTTGATGATCTGCTCAGGTCCCTTCGGACCCTACCAACTATGAACTATGAACTTCAGTGTGCTCAGGAGATTAGTTAGTGAGACATTAAAGGTCAAGAGCATTGGTGAAATGGGGGTGGTTGTTCCTCAAGGGAGTGATCCTATGGGTGCAGAAGGAGACAATCCCATTGCACATAAAAGGGGGCAAAGGGGCCAAGAAGCCCTCTTGACTGAACAGGGAAGTCCGGGAAAGCCTAAGGGCAAAGAAAGAGGTATACAGGCTGCGGAAACAGGGGGTAGCTACCAAGGAGGAGTATATCTCCCTGGCTTGCACTTGCAGGGAATCAGTGAGGAAGGCCAAAGCAGGATTAGAACTTAGGCTGGCGACAAAAATGAAGGACAACAAAAAGTCCTTCTTCAGGTATATAGGGAACAACAGGAAGGCACAGGGTAGCACAGGACCCCTACAGGACAAACTAGGGCAATTGGTGACAGAGTAGGGAACAAAGCTGAGCTCTTCAATTAGTCTTTTACATCTGTATTCCTAGACACAGATGAAGACAAATCTCCTAATTGGATCATAGATAGACAAAGGAGGGACACCAGCCCACCAACTGTTAGTGCAGACTTAGCGAAGGGGCACTTGGAGGGGCTGGATGTGTTCAAATCAGCGGGCCTAGATGAACTTCATCCAAGGGTGCTGAAGGAATTGGCCAGTGTCATAGCAGAGCTGCTGGCATGGCTGTTCGAGCACTCATGGTGCTCTGGTCAGGTCCCAGAAGACTGGAAAAGGGCCAGCGTGGTTCCTATTTTCAAGGGGAGGAAGGAGGAACCAGGAAACTATAGGCCAGTTAGTCTCATCTCTATCCTTGGGAAAACTCTGGAAAAAAGCATTAAGGATCACATTTGTGGGAGCCCAGCATGGGAAATAATGCTGAAAGGAAATCAGCACGGATTCATTGCAGGTAAATCCTGCCTGACTAACTTTGTTTCTTTTTATGACCGGGTCACAAAATGCTTAGAGACAGAAGTTGAGATAGATGTCATTTACCTAGACTTTAAAAGGCCTTTGATACAGTATCACATTTTGTTCGTGTAAATAAACTGGCAGGCTGTGATGTAGATGATTACAAGGTCAGGTGGGTGGCAAATTAGCTTAGGGGTCACACCCAGAGAGTGGTGGTGGACAGGGCGATATCGACCTGAAAAGATGAGGGCAGTGGAGTCCTGCAAGGCTTGGTCCTTGGGCCGGTGCTATTCAATGTTTTCATCAGAGACTTGGACGAGGACGTGGAGAACACCCTGTCCAAGTTCGCAGATGATACCAAATTATGGGGCAAAGTTAACACACCAGAGGGTAGGGAATGGATCCAGGTGGATCTGGACAGGTTGGAAAAATGGGCAGAACGAAATATGATGCAATTCAACAAAGACAAGTGCAAAGTGCTGCACCTGGGCATAAAGAACCACCAACACACTTACAGGCTGGGGGATGACCTCAGCAGCACAGCAGTGGAAAGGGATCTTGGAGTCATAGTTGACTCCAAAATGAACATGAGTCGTCCATGTGGTGAGGTGATCAACAAGGCTAACCACACTTTATCACACATTAGCAAATGCATGATGAATAGGTACGGGGAGGTGATGCTTCCCGCTCTATGCAGCACTGGTCAGGCTGCAGTTGGGAGTACAGTGTCCAGTTTTGGGTGCTGCTCTTCTAGACGGATGCGGAGAATCTTGAGAGGGTTCAGAGGAGGGCCGCTCGTATGGTCAGGCCAGGCCCTACAAAGATAGACTAAAGGGCCTGAATCTATTCAGCCTCCACAAGAGAAGACTGAGAGGGGATCTGGTGGCCATCTATAAACTCACTAGGGGGAAACAGCAGAAAATAGGTGAGGCTCTGTTTCCCCCATGTACCACCTGGGATAACGAGGAATAACAGTCACAAATTGATTGAGAGCAGGTTCAGGCTTGATATCAGGGAAGCATTACTTTATGGTTAGGGCTGCCAGGCTCTGGAATGGGCTCCTGAGGGAGGTGGTATTCTCCCCTACCTTGGGGGTCTTCAAGAGGAAGTTGGATAGATATCTGGCTGGGCTATTATGATCCCAGCACTAGTTCCTGCCCAGGGCAGGGGGGTCAGACTTGATGTCCTACTAAGGTCCTTTCTGACCCTAACATCTATGAATCTATGAATTATAGTTTTACAGATTTTTAAGTGGAAGCTCCTCTCATTTACACAATGCTGCTCCTACAAGCAAGTCCATGCATGGACACTGGATCTTTATACAATCTTTACAGAGGAATTCCATATGGAATCTTTATAGAGCCTGTTAGTAGCTCTGAAGTAAATCCAAGTTAGTATTAGAGACTGTTAGAGGAGAGAACACTCTTGAAGTAGTCTTCAGTGATGGGCAGAAGATAATTCAGTAAGTCAGGGCTCAGCATCCAGCCTTCAAAGAACTCTGATCCAGCCTGTGAAGGTCTGATCTAGAGGCAGGTGAGGACAGAGTGCTGCCTCCCACCACCCCGCACTGCCACTTCCCAGGAGCAGGGCCAGAGGGGGCTAGGGCAGCGGTACCCCTCTGTGGGCCACACAGATGCCGCCCAGCTGGCCGGATGTGAGGGGGAAGGTGGCATGTGGCAGCTACTCTCATCATCCACTGCCCGACACCGCTATCGCACAGCCGGCTGCACATGCAGTTCCGTGGGCTGCTGACAGGCGGTGCATGACTGGCCACATGCGAGGTCCATCAGCAGCCCACAGAGCCACATGTGGGAAAGCAGGGTGCAGCAGTATGGGGCACTGGGTGGCAGGTGCAAGCCCTCCCCGGCTCCACATGAAGCTGCCCCATCCCACATCTGGCCACCAGGGGTACACTTCCTAAAAAAAGTTGAAAACCCCTGCAATAGGTTGTCAAACCCTGCAATAATTATAGCTCAGCCAATAATAGTGCCTAAAATGTAATTAAGGTAGTTATGGTTGTACAAAGGACTGTACCAGAAGCTAAAAGTGACATAAAATAATGAAGCATTATTTTTTTAAAATAGATGCGTTTGTCTTTAGAGTTTAATCCTTATTGTAAGTATAAAAAGCTGTTTAAGCTGACTGATTGGAGAAGATGTGAAGATTTCTAAACAACACAGGAACTAAAAAGGGACTATAGTTAAACAGCCTGATATAAAAATCTTTAAACCCATTCTATCACTGGTAAAATGTCAACGGAAAGCCAGACTGCTAAAAAGGAACCCAAAGAACAAACAGCTAACAACTAAAGATGTAAAAAAAGAAAAAAAGTGTATGTAGAAGTATAAGTTGAAGTATATGAGAAATAGAAAGAGAATAAAGCAAATCGTTTTAACTCATAGTTAACTGTGGGCTTCACACAAAACAGTGAGGCATTTAAAGAGCCTGGCAGGATAACATCTGCAATTACCTTAAATAGGAAGTAACATACTATGGTAAGCTCTATTTCATTGCATAAGTTAATTAGCAACTGCCTGCTGGTCAGGAAGAAACTTTCCCCATTAGCACCTGGTCTTATGGTCTTAGAAGTAGTTTTCTCCAGCCACCAACAGAAACCAGAGACCCACAATTGGTCCAACTCAAAAGGACGACTCCTGTGTTCCTAAAATTCTCACTGATACTTGACAGGTCTTGAGGTAGGCCAAATCCAGAAGGTTCACCCCAGGTTACTGATATTAAACACAGTAATTTCACTGTCCTTTTCTGTCTCTCATGTGTGCATGTACGTGCACATGTGTTTACACACATGTTCTGAAACTTGTAAGCATCAGATAAAAGTATACCCCGGATGTCAATAATACTGGACTGAATTTTTGAAAAATCAAAACTGACTGAGGTTTTGCAAAACCTGGATTATTGTGTATTTATTACCCATTACAGGGCTAGAACAAAACCAAGTCTGGGATATTTTTTTAATGAGTTTCTCTTTTATGTTGTCTCTCATTCTGTAACTCAGGGGTGGCCAGGCTGCGGCATGAGTGCCACAAGTAGCACGGGGAGTCTCTTTATGTGACACATGGCAGACTGGGGATGGGACAGACAGCATAGCTGCAGATAATGCAGGGAGCAGAAAGCAGAGCAACGTATCTCATATGCTTCAGTTACTAATGAGTTTATTTCAAAAAGAAGAACAAAGTTCCTATAGGCAGATATTTGTCATTCTTAGTAATGACAGCAGCTTCTTCCTTCAAAATGTTGATATTTGGTTGTGAAAAAATTTCTTAAGCAATTAATATATAATGATAGACATACATTTTAGGAAAAAATAGAGAAAGAGATGAATGAAAAGAACAAGCGAGAAACACAGCGGGGTTATAACCTGCTACAAGAACAAACCCCTACTGTCAGTTTCTTCAGCGTTAATGGTCTTATTAATATAAACCTACTATGCAAGTATGCATCTCCATTAAAATCTTTAAATCAAATCTACTCATTGATATTTCAGACTCTTGTGAGTAATTCTGTGAATAATACGTTACAGCACACTTTGGTGTTTAGAAATTAAATTGACTTGTGGTTATAGGTGCATATATTCTTTATGAAGGGTAAATATATTTGTAATAAAAGTTAATAAAGTACTAGTTTTCAGAGTTTGTAGTACTAATTCAAGAGAAGTTATTTACACTGATTTCTATGCAGCATATTTTCTTCCTACATTTAAAGGTATGTACACAAAACCGTGTAAAACTTACCCCGTTTAACAGGACGACTGGCTACTGTAAACATTTGCATTGCAATAGAAAAGTCTTCCAAATGGTTTGTAAACTTGCAAAAAGTCTTGAATTCTTCCAAACTGATATTCTAGAGTACCAAATAAATTAAGTTAGGTATAGTACAAAATAAATCCAAGATAAGGTAGATCTGTTTACTTTGCAACCTAGTATTTACATGAGACAGTGTTGATCACTTTTTATGTTTCTATTTTCTAGCTGTCAAATAAGCATCATCCTTTTGATATAAAATAATTTTCAAAAAAGTGACAAGAGCTTCTCTGTCTGCCAAGATGCACATTTTTGGTTGACAGTTTCATAACTAGAATCTTGCATTTCAATTTGAAGTAAGGAACAAAACAAAAATAGTATACCTCTCCTGCCTGGATCCTCTCTTTCACATTATGCCAGTAAATTTCATTGTTTTCCTCATGAGTGAAACATAGTAACCATTCTGCAAAGTCCTCTTTTCTCATGAAGTTCATGCCTTTTGAAAACTGTATGAATTCCATTTCTTGCACTTCTGTTTGTAAATTTTCCATAAATCTAAAATGTAAACAAATACAGTTCAATGTATAACAAAAGTACTATTAAGTAGTACTTTTATTACCACTAACATAGCTACTATTTAGGGGAAACAGGAATTGTTTAGATAGTAACAAATACTAGTGTTGCACTAGTTTACTTTACAATTGATCTAATTTTACCTGTGTATGTAAAGATGTTTGTAGTGATGTGTGTTTCAATAATTATACCACTAGGGTGCTCTCTAAGTCTTACATATACTACTGGATATTGCAGAATGAAATAAATGTACTGATATGTTAGCATATACTTAATACCTTGAGAAAAGAATATGTAGCAAAGTGCATCAAATATGATTCTGAATATTTTCAGAAATATTTTAGAATATTCCAGAAGATTATGTGCAATTTTGCTAGCCAATGATTAAAAAGAAGGCTGACTATTTCATAGTTTCATAGTAGCTAGGGTCAGGAGGGACCTGAACAGATCATCTAGCCTG